ACAACCACAATACAGAAATAGATACTCCATCGCTATCAAATATCAATTTGTATGGCACGGTGCCATCAGGCAATGCAACTACAAAACAAACAACTAACTGAAATCAATGGCAATCTTTGTTCGCGATAGAATCAACTAGTAATTACAGACAATAGGAAAATTATCACGATATCAGTTTACAAAGAATATCTGGCTTTAATGTACCAGTTACGGGTACCGTCGACGCAGGGAGGCCGCACACCGGTCGTACCAGGCACACTTTCATATCTTGACTGTACCTCCAACTCTACATATAGATATAGTATATCTACTCACCTATATTGTACAGCGCTAAACGGGTCATAGCTTCGTGATCCAAGCTCGTTTGTTAGGACTCGCTAACAGCTGTTTCGCTTTGATACCACTTACTAAGAAAGTTTTAATAAACACTTAAACTTTGTGCTGTTTATCCAGGCACTGCTTGATTGGTGCAGATCAATTTAATCTTTGTTGGGAAGGTAAAGATATGCTTCGATATGTATCACGGAAGTGTAAATAATAGGGATATTTCCAGCTTCTTTTCCGAATCGGGTACATTCCAATATAGAACGTAACCTCAAATATTGTAACGAAACTACACACATAAGTAGACGACAGTACATAAAATAATTGAACTAAAGACGATGAAATAGAATCAGAACTAGAGAATGCGGAAAAAACTAAAACGATACCGTGAGATAAAGTGAAGTTGCGAGACTTCATTGCGTCACAATACAAACAAACGGTTGGACAAAACAACATCTAGGCGATATTTCCAAAACACAAGTTATAAAATGTAAACGTTAATAGTGATAAAAGTGCGAGGTCTGGCGTGTGAGTGAGCAGTTTTCCATCTCTCATGCGTAATAGTCGAGTAACAATGAAGATCTGTGCTGCTCTCTTTCTTTCAACCATTTGCTTCGTGAATGCGTTCAGCTCAACGCGCTGTTTATTCTTCAATAAAAAGTGTAAGTGCTTGTTCCATTTTATAGTAAAAACAAGACAAGAATATATCAGGATTTTCTCCATAAGTACCCATTTCGCAATTTACCTGTTAAATAACTTATTATTAATTCCCTAGCAACTAGCTGTTCCACAAGGCACTATCCTGGGTCCTATTATTTGAGTTAGACAAACAATACTCGAGTTCTTTATTATCTGATGTCGTAGAAAATCTTGAAGAGAGACGATTATTCATGTGTCTGTTACATTGATTGCTGTAATTTTCGTATGTTCTAAATTAGAATAAAATAGTCCTCTACGTGGGAATCAATTAACTAAATATGATAACTTACACAAGATTTTCACTGTTTCAGGTGTAGACCATTGTCCACGTAATATGCATCCATATCACACACGATGCGATGGACAGACGATGTCGCAACGTACTTGTGACGACCCCCAAACGTATGTTATAGGTAGGAACGTCATTTTATAGATCAGACAATTTGTGGTTAATTACCAACTGAGTCTGATTGAGTCAAAAGGTACCAATTGGGAAACAGTCCAAGGCCCCTGGCTGAGTGTGCCTTGTCTGTTAGGGGCTCGCGAAAGTTGAAGTCCGGTTAGGAAGTACCATCATAAAAAGTGCCTGATAGGAAAAACCCTATCAGACAGGTCTTCAACAGTATTTTGGTCAGACACAAACATGCAGATAGGTCATATTTACGCGCACGCTTTCCTACTAGGGACATGCTCTCACAATTCTACGAATTTATACCAATAACCTCAATCAATGAAACTTAAATCTTAATGCGAAAGTTTTAAAACTGATTTTGGTTTACCTACAACAGGCTACACGTGTGGATGGTCTCGATGTGATTGCAATGGTGATATGGCCCTTGATGAAGATTCAGGACTCTGCGTGCCGTACAAAAACTGTCCTCCATCGTTGCCTCGCGGAGCCAAACGAAACAGACGAAGATTCGGCAAACGAGGACACAAACGTGTAAAGGCCCCGAAACCAGATGCATATGACCGAGAAATGCGTGATTGATTTAATTTTATAAAGTTGTGTGTTTTTTTTTATAAAGCTATTTGTTTTTAAATTTTGCAATTTTGCAACGACCAGTAGTGTAATAGATGATTTTTTGTGACGTTATACTTGCGATAATTAGGTACTCCGATAGTTACAGAATTGATTCTAATCTCAGTAGTAAAATAGGACCTTAAGTGCAGGAGTAGGAACGGGGTGGTTTTTAGTCAGTAAGAGTCTGACACTCCCTCTCGCCTAACCCAGGCGGGAGAAGTCATTTGTTGACTTTCCTCCTCATAAAAAAACCATAAATACCAATTTCTGTATAACCAACAACAAGAAATAATCAAAATTAGAGATCTATTCTTGTCAAGAATGTGGAAAGTTTACGAATCACTTCCAAAGTACTCAGATTCATATTATGAAAGAAATACTAATAAACAGGAAGGCACCTTCAGCGGTGTCTTAGCAAAGTTTACAAAAATAATGTTTGCGTTACAATTACAATCAAACATTCATTCATACTACGGAAGATGGAATACCAACAAATACTCGTGTTCATTTCCCTTGAAGACGGACAGTGGTGAAGACGTGATGCATCAGATCCTGATAATCCTGTGCTTCGTACATGCTGCTACTGCTATTTACTACGGCAAAGTTGGAAACAGCAATTGTTTGATGTACAACGGCACTTGTGAGTAACATTTAATTCATATCTTTTCGTTGATTATCATTTAAATTAATACATTGGTTTTAATGTGAATGACATAGGATTTTAGACACAGTTATTTCATAATAACACATGAATCGCTGATAGGCATTACAATGAAATTTTGAAAACATACCAGGAGATAGTGTGATATTAAAGTTGGAATTATTTATTTTGTGGTTTAAAGAATAAGAAATAAGTATTAGTAAAGCGAATACAAAGCTTGATCTAATACAAAACGAAAGAACACGAAAGTGAAGCTTAAAGTAATTGGTTATTAAAATTCATAGATGAAGCACCGTGCTTCTAGACTTAGGTCCTCAAATTAAAATATACTAGAATTTGCACCAGTGTAACTAATAAACTACGCCTAATAATAATGTTTTTCGGCATGAATACCTTTAGCAAAACACGACTGAAGCCATTAATTTAATCCCCTTTAAAATATTACAGCTATTATTTGAAGAGTTCGAAGTTAGTTTGAATTAGCAATTAGTGCGTAAATTGCCTCAAAACTTAGTTCTTTATAAAGTTGTTCTGCGTTAGTTTGTAGGGTTTAGGCACTGAAGCCTAGGGTGAGTCTAAAAATAATCTGCTTATATACTTAGGTGCTTCGCAAAACCTAAATGTCTGTGGCATTACAAGGACTATGTAATAATACTAGTTAGGTAATTGAAAGCCAATTACCTAAGTATTTTAGAAACATTGACGTGGAAATGTTTGAGTAGGTAAGTAGATTTGTATTATAGACAATTTTTTTAGCGTACGAATTTCTTTGAGTCGCTAATGTATCATCAGTTTATCCTAGAGTGTGCGTATTTATATCAGGATCAACTAGTTTGTCCTAGCCTAAACTGGTTTGTCCTATCGGGCTTAGGACAAATTAGTTTGAACTAGGCTATACTAGTTAATCCTAACGCTTATAGGAAGAACTAGTTTAGCCTAGGCAAAACTAGTTTGTCCTGAAATCGGGTTTAGCCGGTAACATATACAATAAATTCTTTGCCATGTCATGTAGGTAATTAACGAGGAGTTTTAAAAGCCCTCGGGGAATAGGTACTTAACTCTTTCTGGAAACCACAAGTTTATTGGCAACCCAATTTTATATTAGAGGTTTACTTTAATTTTTGTACATTCCTGCAGGTGTACCTGAATGTCCGGAACACATGCACCGTGTGAACAGCGAATGTCGGCCGACTCCGTCGCAGAGAAGTTGCGACGAACCAGTCGCAATATCTATGGGCATCATCTGCGGCTGGTCGCGATGCGATTGCGACTTCCCCTTCGTCCTACATTTGCCTTCAGGCTATTGCTTCTTGTACGAAGATTGTCCGTGATTGGATAACGGAATCCATTAGAATGGAATATTGAATTTAAAATTATGTTACGCTAGGAATTGATTTGTTGTGAGAAATAAATTGTTGTTTTTTAATTAAGAGGTTGTATTTTTATTTCACCTGTAGGTGGAGTTTTGATTTCAGTTTCCATTTAGTTTGTAATCCCTGGGATTGAAACGAAAATATCGTACCTATTTGAAAATCAATTGCTGCCACACAAAGCACAAAAAAACATATTGTGTCGTGCTGAAATCAAAGCGCTAACTTTATAGGTAACTAATTTAGTTCTATAAAGAATACATGCATACAAATCAGGAAAAGAGAGGTAGAGGTACAGAAAAATCATAGACATGTTTTAATAAGATTTTACCATAAAACACATCTACCGGAGGCCCAATTACCCACCTCCCCAGTCTCCCCAATCCTCGAATACTCCACAATTCTCAAATTCCCAATTCCCAAAAGGCCGGTAACGCACTTGTAATGCCTTGGTGTTCCAGGTGTCTATGGGCGACGCCGATTGCTTACCATCAGGTGATCCGTCTGCTCGTTTACCGGCTTATGTCATAAAAAAACTACCTATTGTGTCGACTTCAAGCAAATAAAATCAGGTCCATACTATGTCGGATCGGCTCACTAGTCGGAAATCGGCTGCCGGATAAAGGACATTAAACTGTCAAACACCAAGCGGTCACCGGTGACCGCAACCTATTGTTCTATAATTGTGTCTGCAAAACCGGTACTCGACGAGTTAAAGCATTTCCACACTTGGTTGTTCTGGTTCTGTGTGTGATAGACATAGGAGATAATATGGTGGAACCAGCGACCAAAATATTGATATCCCAAAATTGTTGCCAGAGGCTGGACTGAAGATGAAGCAATAAACGGAAATCAGCTGATATTGATGAACCAGTAACATATTATTTAACAATCCTGTCTCAGTCAAACGTTCTTGTTCCAGGTACACCGGCCACTGTCCCATGCTGAAGTTTCGCTTCGGAAAATGCTACGGAGACAACACGAGACAAATACTTCGAGAAATACGCTCTAAGGGACTATTCAAGTAAGTCATTGATCAAAACAATGTAGGTAGGTATAAGAAAATGTTCGTGCCCTCGATCAGTTTCGCCGGTACTCATAAATAAATGAGCTAAGTGTGTGCATTATAAATTCTATTTAATATTTGTCACGATAGCTATTTCATAAAAATGCGTAGGTTGTAGGTACAGAACCTAAGAAGACCCTTTTCTAAGATACGATAGACCTTACAAGGGCAACAACAAATTAATTCAAACGGAAAGCTTTGATGTCCTATCTTAATTAAGTGCCCTTCTTATCTCATTACTTACGCTTACGTAATCTGTGCCTAATTAACTTGAGCCACCTAAATATGGTGGAATTGATTATACATTAAAATAGACTTAATAAGTAGGTAGGTGAGCGACTCGTTGGCTGAGTGGTTGCAAATGCGATTGCCAGGTCGAAAAAAGTATTACTAAAAAAAAAATCAGTAACAGCACGGAATCTGGAATTGTGCCCGGTATATGGCAATAGGCTCACCCCCTATTACACGGGACTCAACATAAATAATGAAAAGTGGGTGTTACATTGTACAGTGGCATTAAGTGCCGTAATGTGCACCGCTGCCTACCCCTTCGGGGATGAAAGTCGTGATATTATGTGTGAAGTAGGTACAGTTAAGTAATATAGCAGTAACATTAGACGTAATTATTATGTAAGGTGATTATTTTTCCAACTCTGCAAAGTTACCTCATATTGTAAACCTAAGTTTAAAGTATCATCGCCCATTAATATAGAGGTATAGATGTAGTCTAACAGCTTAATGTTAATGAGGGATGATACTTTATTTATACACCCCTCTCCTCCTTCCCCCAATCTCCACAATCCCTTTATCGAATCCAACAATTCTTAAAAGGCCGGTAACGCACTTGTAACGCCTCTGATGTTCCAGGTATCCATTGGCGACGCCAATGGCTTACCTTCAGGTGATCTGTACGTTCGTTCAGCGGCTTATCCCATAAAAAAATCTACTAGCAACGATATCAAGTCTTCATCTTACAAAAATCGTTCAAATCATCACTTTCCTTCCTTTCAGCAAGCCATTGGAGTACCGTCCTCGGGATAATTACGAGCTGAACAATCTACCTCGTTTCGAGGAACCACAGCGGGACATTTACGACGGCATCAGGAACAAGCCACCAGCACACATGACGGGGTACACTGGTTATGTTCCCGGGATGAATTTTAGGTAAGAATTTAGACTACGTCTATTTGGGATAACCAGGACGACGGATTAAGTAATTCATCGCCCCAGTTATCCCATGTGTTATTGTCCATCAAGTGATGATAAGCAATAGGTTAGATGCCTAATTTTTATTTTAATGTCCGTCTGGTAGATTATTTTAAATCATTAGACATGTATTTTTTATTTTTTTACAGAAACGAATATTTTCGAAGATATATTGATTTGAAATGTCGCGTGACGTCACTTCTATGTGCATTATATACGTAGAAATGACGTTTTAGCCCTCACTCCTAAACTTTGATTCGTTTTATCTAAGTATTGTTTTATTATATGACAAAATAAAAAAATACGTGTCTAATATTTTTTTATTACCTAACTTACGGACTAATTAGATTTTTAATTTTCATACCCTGTCATCATCCCAATTAGCATTGTCTAAGAACACTCGCAATATCGGAAGCTCCGTAATTTCACCAACTTAGAGGTAACCAATGCTTGCATTAATGCGATAGACACACATCTTGGTGTTTTATCTGTACCGATATACATAATATGTTTATCGCTCTGTAATATAAGCTTACAAAATAAATGTGACCCAATTCCCTGTGACCGATTGAGCAGTTTTTTTTTATTTCATTTTCAGTGACTTTCTTTTCGTTTCATATACCTATATTTGTTCAAATCAATAGTTATTTCAATTCAAACTTGTACGGAACGGAAATGTCAAGGATTATTTTACATTTGAAATTTACGATGACCATAAAAGGGTCGGTTATGGAATCAAGTTCAAGTGAGCGTGACAGTGAAGCGTTTACAATTCAAACGGCTGTTCTTTCTGTGGGATATTTCAGTCAGACTTAGAAAAAGAGAATAAAAATGTATGAATGATAACACAGCATGATACTTTGACGTAAACAATGAAACATATATTTATTATATTTCGTTCAATTGACCAAGTGACTGTAAGACCAAGCATAGTTGTAGGTACCTACTATATAACCTTATATATTCTGCAGTCGATAAAAATGTAAATGTCCGTATGGATTGAGGAGCCACTTTCGATTTAAAAAGGAAGCTCGCCCCCTTATTTAGTAGGGAAGTAAATAATTTTGTAGACCGAATTCTGAAATTTGTAGTATAATATGTCTAAAGTTATGTAACTGTGAATGTGGCTCCTCAATCCAAACATCTGAATTGAGGAGCCACCTGAAACACGGAAAGTATTTCATGTATATTTTTGAAAATTTTGTATCATTTAGTAGCAATTGTGTATAGTGTCTACTAAAAATTTGAGCCCAGTATTGTTTATATTCAAGAATATACAATACTTTTAATGTGGCTCCTCGATCTATACACAAGAGCATGAATTGCCATGAAAGTTATTGGTCAATTTATATTCCACTCTAAAGACATTTAGTAGTAAGTGTGTTCGAATTTGTAGTATATGGACAAAGTAGTAGACTGAGCGAATTTAATAAATAAATGCATTTCATTTGGCTCCTCAATCGTGACGTCTGCATAATAAATAATTGACTGTACCTACCTGAGATCAAAACGGAATAAAATACCAGAGACACTAACATTTAGTATAAACGGTCTACTAAATACATATGCACAGATCAACATTGTATATGTTCGGTATTTGAAAAACAAATCACTTCTGAATATTCCTTACGAATTCGCTATTTAGGGTGACCATGTTATATGAATTAAACTAGGATGATTCATTTTTGAAATTTAATTTTTCGACAATATTCGGTACAAAGATT